AAAGGAGTGTGCTGTCACAGTATAAGGAGAGCAACTAGGGTCACATAACAATGTATGTATAAATTCTTGTATGAGAGACTAACTTGAATTGTAAACTTTCATGTAAAGCACAAGAATAAAATTTTAAAAAATTAAGTCATGAAGATCGGAGTAGTTAATAAACAAATTGGAGGATTCGCCTTTATTAGCATAGATACAAGAATTACTTGAGAAGCAGCTTGTTTGACTGCTGCAACAGCAAGATTATTTCCTCTAATTTCCTCAGTTTGAGGTACTCCTTTTGGTTGATGAGCCTGTATTTTTATTACAGCAATATCAAGGGGAGTAAGAGAGCATCTAGAAGATCTGCTACTAAAGCTCAATTTTTTAGTATTCCCTGACAAGATAAAAAAAACCTCTTTGTTTCCAAAGCATACCAGAGTCATGTATGACCCCAAAGCAGTATCGACTGTCCTTGTAAATAGTAACAGGCTTTCCTTCAGCAATTTTACAAGCTCTGGTAAGAGCAATCAATTCAGCTTGTTGGGCTGAAGTGGCTTTTGGAAGTACTTGGATTTCAAGTACTTCGATAGAGTTTGTGACAGCATATCCTGCCTGATAATGAGAATTACTGGAACTAGGTTTAAATAGGAACTATCTACAAACAGAACCAAATCAGGATTAAAGGGGTTTCCTTCAAATCCTTCTGGGGAGTTAGGAGCTGTTTAGTAGGTCTAAATAGTCATGTGGGGGACAGCTGTCTTCATTCACTGCAGGGAAAAGGGTAGCTGGATTTAGAGAAGCCACAGAGTGCAACCTAATGTTGGATGCAGCCAGGAGGAGGACTTCATACATGGTGAGTCTGCTGGCTAAAAGATGTTGTGTTAAGACAGAATTAAGTAAGGCAGACATAGCATGGGACACATATACATCTAAAAAGTTTCCCAGTACTACATCTGCCGTGGTTTCTACCAGCTTAGCAGTGGCAGCTACAGCGTGCAGGGAGGGAGGGTACCCTGTGGCTACTGGGTCAAGCTGCAGGCTGTAATAATCTACGAATTGTTGCAGTCCTCCATGTTTCTGAGTTAATACACCTAAGGCATTTCCAGATACTTCATGTACAAATAGGGAAAAATCTAAATGGTTGTTAGGAAATCCTAGAATGGGCATATTCATTAAAGCTGCTTTTAATTTAGTTACTGCCTCTTGATCTTCTGATGTTATTTGGAATGACTCTGGTTCAGAAGCCTTTAAAATTTGTACAGAGGTTGAGCCTGAGCTATCAAAGAAAAATTAGGTACCTAGGTTTGGCAATAACCACAGAGTCCTAATAAGCCTTGTAGTTGTTTCATTGTTTCAGGTATAGGTAAAACCAAGATAGCTTCTTTTCATTTAGGGTCTATAGAGATGCCTTCTTCATAGATTAGGTGGCCTAAGTATTTAACACTGGAGCCCTGATGGCACAGTAGTTAAGAGCTGTGGCTGCTAACCAAAAGATCTGCAGTTCGACTCTACCACTTGGAAACCCTATGGGGCAGTTTTACTCAGCCCTATAGGGTCACTATGAGTCGGAATCAACTCAGCGGCAGTGGGTTTTTCAGTATTTAACAGAAGGCTGGGCCAATTGCAATTTTTCCTTAGAAACCTTATGTCTGCCGCGTATTTTAATAAAACTATACTGCTTTGAAGGTAAGCTCGCTGGGAAACTGAGTAGGCTAACAAATCATCAGCATACTATAGTAATATAGATTGGTTTATAAATTGTAAACGCTGCAAATTGCATACAAAATCTGAGAAAATAAGTAGGAGACTCAGTAAATCCTTAGGGTATTACAGTTCAGGTAGATTGTTGGTTTTCCCATTTTACTTGTATCCACAATCAACGCCCATGGAAGGCAGCAGTCAAAAAATCAAACAAAGGCCATCTAAGATACTTCACTGGTCTCACCCCTCTGGGAGCAAGGGAGAATGAAGGAAACAAGATATAAGGGAAAGATTAGTCCAAAGGATTAATGGACCACATCTACCGCGGCCTCCACCAGACTGAGTCCAGTACAGCTAGATGGTGCCCAGCTACCGCCACTGACTGCTCTGACAGGGATCACAACAGAGGGTCCCAGACAGAGCTGGAGAAAAATGTAGAACAAAATTCTAACTCACTAAAAAAGACCAGACTTACTGGCCTGGCAGAGACTGGAGAAACCCAGAGAGTATGGCCCCTGGACATCCTTTTAGCTCAGTAATGAAGTCACTCCCAAGGTTCACCCTTAAGCCAAAGGTTAGACAGCCCCATAAAACGAAACGAGACTAATGGAGCACAACAGGCCAGGGACAAGAACTAGAAGGCAGGAGGGGACAGGAAAGCTGGTAATAGGAAACCCAGGGTCGAGAAGGGAGAGTGTTGACATGTTGTGGGGTTGTTAACCAATGTCGTAAAACAATATGTGTACCAGCTGTTTAATGAGGAACTATTTGTTTCGTAAACCTTCATCTAAAGTACAATAAAAAAAATTAAAAGAAAGAACATATTGCATTAGGCAAGTGTGCTGCAAAAGACTTCTTTTAAGTGTTCAAAAGCAAATATGTCATTTTGAGGACTGAGGTGCACCTGACCCAAGCCATGATATTTTCAATCACCTCATATGCATGCGAAAGCTGGACAATGAATAAGGAAGACAGAAGAAGAATTGATACCTTTGAATTATGGTGTTGGCAAAGAATATTGAATATACCATGGACTGTCAGAAGAATGAACAAATCCGTCTTGGAAGAAGTACAGCCATAATGCTGCTTAGAAGGGAGGATGGCCAGGCTTTGTTGCACATACTTTGGACATGTTATCAGGAGGGACCAATTCGTGGAGAAGGACATCATGCTTGGTAAAGTAGAGGGTCAGTGAAAAAGAGGAAGACCCTCAACAGGATGGATTGACATAGTGGCTGCAACAATGGTCTCAAGTATAACAACGATTGTGAGAATGACACAGGACAGGGCAGTGTTTCATTCTGTTGTACATAGATAGGGTTGCTATGAGTCAGAACCGATTCGACAGCACCTAACAACAACAACCAGGTAAAAGCAAACAAATAACTGACTTCCAGGATGCACAGGGATGCTGAAAAAGGCACTACAAAGATACACAACTGTGAAGTGAGTTGCATTTGGAGGAACACTGGAAAGTAATAAATGTGGATTAGAGACCAGCAGGAATCTAGGAATGACAATGCAGTTGATGGCTTACAAATCTTGAGCAAATCTCTGACCTCTATTATTTTGCTTTTTAACTGGAAGAACAGAAGTGTTACAGGGGCTAGTACCTGGGACAATTAAACCTTTAGAAAAGAAATCTTGTATAATAGGAACAAGTCCATCTTTAGCTTTTCATTTGAGAAGTTGCTGGGGAATTTTTGGCAGAGGTTTAGATAAATCTATGTGTATCTTAACTGTATCAGCTGACAACACTTAGCCTACATCTGTAGATATAGTGGCCCACAAGGTTTCAGGGACAGAGAAAAGAGTGTCAGAAGGGAGAGGGCTAGGCTGTGCTGAACTTTGGAGAGGTATAACAAGTGCCTGCATATAGCAAATGGCTACCTTTTCACAACCAGTCTCTGTTGACTCAGGAATATCAGGCAAACTTAATAATATTTCTCCCTTTTCATTAAATTGTTAATGGCAGTTCCATTTGGATAAAAGATCTCTTCCTAGCAAATTAAAGAGGTGTTCAGGCCTAAGCAAAAAGGGATGTAAATTTTCATTGGGACCAAAGGATATCAGAATGGGCTAGGAATGAATCAGTGTTTGCTCCTGGTTGGTAACCCCCACTACTTTCGAGATTTTTGTACCCCAGGGCAGGGGCTTTTGTAAATGAGAGATTAGCACCAGATAGGGTGGATCCAGTGTCAATTAAAAACTGGCAGAGTTCTCTATTAATGTACATTATAGTTTCCCCTTTTGAGTTGAGTGCTACCATGGGAAAAGTCCCTTTGTTGCCCCTGGAGGCCCTTCATTCTAGGTCATATTGAAGGGTGTCCTGTTCATGAGTTTTTCATTTTTTAATTTGTAGCACTCATTTTTTCCAATGGTGAGCTTTTTTGCAATAATGACAGATGCCAGTTTTGGTGCTATTGGAAGTTTTGATGTTTTTCTTTTGACTAGGAGACTGTAATTGTCGCAACTGGAGGATCATCAATTTATTAGCCTTAGAAACT